TCAGCTGTTGCCAGAGGTACGCGGAAACGACACTTTTTGAGGAGGAATTTTAAATCTTATTTTTGCCTTATATCACAAAACTAGAAAGCAAAATAATAAGGGATAGGAAATGCATTCACCATTCTATACATCTCTTCCTTCTTTGGCGGTTCTATATATAAATAATATGAAAGTAAACGTAAGAATTAAAGTTTTCCAAACGATATCATCCTCTCTTTAAAACCGACCGTTTCTTTATACTTTCCACATTTCTCTCGTTTTCATATAATTCCTTTTCCGTTTCTACCCCATTTCTAACAATTTCTCATCCTTTTACCACAATCTAACATACTTCCAATAATAAATTCGCATAAACTAACGATTCACACCACGATATGAAACACCGCATGGAACCACAAACACCTTTTTCAAAAATGTACAATAAAACACCACATGAACCACATTTCGCACAATCGACACCACACCAAGAGTCTTAAAAGAGTATGCCACGGCACAGAAAGGAGCACAGAACAGGGTGTCACTTCAATTCGTGTCATAAGGCGTCAGAACGTAAGCTCAGTGCCAGAAAACAACATCAGCCTCCATCTCTTCAGGTACAGAGTGACTGCACACGTGAATATATGAACAAATGTGAAGAAATGAACAAGTAACTCGGAGAACAATAAATAAATTAAAGCTGGGAGCGTGTCATGCGAAACTGCACAGGTTATATCTCGCTATAAATTTCTTGTTATTTTTTTTTCTAATTTTCGGAACACTGTCACCACGCGAACTGGCATCGGGAGGACAGGAAACAGGATGAGGAGACAGAAAAGAAAATAAATGCAGAAAAGAATAAAAGCAGATGGAGAAGCAGAGGCAGAGGGAGTGACAGGGAGAGAGAGAGAGAGAGAGAGAGAGAGAGAGAGAGAGAGAGAGAGAGAGAGAGAGAGAGAGAGAGAGAGAGAGAGAGAGAGAGAGAGAGAGAGAGAGAGAGAGAGAGAGAGAGAGAGAGAGAGAGAGAGAGAGAGAGAGAGAGAGAGAGAGAGAGAGAGAGAGGAGAGAGAGAGAGAGAGAGAGAAGGAGAAGAGAAAGAGAAAGAGAAAGAGAAAGAAAGAAAGAGACAGACAGCAAGAGACAGAATAAGAAACAAAAAGGAAAGAACGAGAATAAGCACTAAAAAGACCGAAGGAAGTTGAGAAGGAGTTGCAAGTCCCCCTCGCCCCAAGCCAGCCAGTCCCGAACGCACACTTGGCCTCACGAGCGACCTATCTCAGACACTCCCGGCATAGCGACTGTCATCTGCCTCTCGCTCCCCTCTCCCCTCCCCTCACACCCTACTCTTAACCCTACCTCCTGATCCCCTCCTCTCACCCCCTTCCCTCGTCTCTCCCCTCCCCCCTCTTCCCTCGCCTCTCGCTTCCCCTCTCAACCGTACCCCCTAACCCCCTTATTCCAACACTACTCCCCCTCAACCACTCTCTCTCCCAACACTACCACCCCCTCCACTCTCTTTCCCAGCACCCCCTCCCCCTCCCTCACCCCCCTTCCTCCGCCATCCCCCTCTCACCCTCTCCCCATCCCCAATACTCCCTTTACCCTTTCTCTCTCTCCCCTTTCCCTTTTACTCTTTCTCCTCTCGTCCTCGCCCTCCCCCTCCCTCTCCCCTATCCCCTCTCGTCCTCGTCCTCCCCCTCCCTCTCCCCTTCCCCCTCGTCCTCGCCTCCCCTTCCCTCTCCCTACCCCCCTCTCCCCCCATCCTCCCACACCCACCTGTCTCTTACCTCAGCCTATTCCCGGACGCCCTTTTTGCAATTGCTCATTTCGCATTATCGGGAGTTTGCAAAGCGTCGACGAATCTCAAATTATGGGGATGTTTTTTTCTTCAACTGAACGCCGATTATTTTCACGATTTTATTATTTTATTATTTATTATTTTCTCATTTACTCATTTATCATTTCTTTTATAATTTGCTATTTTATTATTTATTATTTCATCATTTTATTACTTATCATTTATTATTTCATTATCTTGACTTTTATTTCTTTTTTTTCTCGCTTTACATTGATCGCCTTTTATTTTTTGCTGTTCCTCCCTTCCCATCTTTATTTCCAATTATTTCGTAGTTCTTCCATATATTTCTTATGTCTATTTATTCTTTCCTTTATTTGAATTATTACTTTTATTATTATTATTATTTTTATATCCTATTATCATCATTATTCCTCCCTTCCATTTTAATTCCTACTGTTTTTACTATTATTATTATTATCATTATTATTATTTATTATTATCATTCCATACATCCTATCATCTTTTACTATTCCCATCTCCCATCTTTATTTCTAATTCCTTTCATTAATCTTCCGTACATCCTATCATATTTATCCTTCTTACCTCCTTCCAATCTTTATCTCCTGTTATCTTTACTTTCCCTTCCTCCTTTCTTTATTTCCTAATATTTTCATTTTTCTTCTTCCCATCTTTACATCTCGTTAACTTTATAATTTTTCCCTCTTATCTTTTATTTATATTATCTTTACCTTTCTTCCCTCCTATCTTTTTATTCACATTTTCTTTATCATTCTCCTCCCATTATCATATCCTATCCTCTTTCTTACCTTTCCCGCCGTCTTTATTTCTCATTACCTCTATCCTTCTTCCCTCCCATATTTATATCTCACCATCTTTATCCTTATCCCCCTTTATCCTGATTTCCTATCATCTTCAATTATTCCTTCTTCCCCCTTCCTTCTTTCCCTCTTCCTCCCTCCTCTCATTTTTATATCCCCACTATCTTTATCCTTATTTCCTATCATCTTCAATTATTCCTCCTCCTCTCTTCCTCTCTCCTCCCGTTTTTTATATCCCACTCTCTTTATCCTTATTTCCCCCCCTCCTTATTTCCTATCATCTTCAATTATTCCTCCTCCCTTTCCTTTTTTCCCTCTTTCCCCCCTCCCCCTTCCTTCCCTCTCCTCTCCCCCCTTCCGTCCTTCCTCCCCCCTCCCTTCTTCCTTCCCTCTTCCCCCCTTCCTTCCCCCCCCCCCCCCCCTATTTTCACCTCGCGACTGAAGGGCAAAAAAGACACGCGAATTGGCGTCACTGACTATATTTACGGCGCCATGACTGTCATGAGTCTGCTGTCATGAGTAACTGGACCGATATACGTTCGTGTATGTGCACATGCGTATAGGGGCGCACGTCCATGTATGCACGGATACGCACACGCGAGCGAATGTAAACAGACTGCCTCATCTTTCTTGCTCTGCATCTTCTATCTGTCTCTGTCTAGGTCTTCTCTTTTTTTCTTTCTTTCCTTGTCTCTCTATTTCTTTCTTTCTTGTTTTCTTTCTTTCCTTGTCTCTATTTCTTTCTTCTTGTGTTTTCTTCTCTTCTCTTTTTCTTTCTTTGTTTTATCTTTTCTTCTCTCATTCTCCTTCGTCTCCTCTCCTCTCTCTCTTTTTCTCTTCTCTCCTCTTCCATTCTCTTCTCTTTCTTCTATTCTCCTTCCTCTCTCTCTCTTTCTTTCTTTCTTTTCTCTCTCTGTCTCTCTCTTTCCTTACGAAATATGAAATGAGAAATAACCACGTTTCTCCTAACATCACCCTTACTCAAGACGATGGTGATGATGGCGATAATAGCAATATTAATAATAAAAAATCATGTCTGTATTCATATTACTAACAACAACAACGCCAACCACATCATTAACAACAACATCAGCTACCACATCAACATCAACAACACACATCAACATCAACATCCACATCAACAACCACATCACAACAATCACTAAATCCATTAACTTTAATACTAATTTCACCCCCTCCCCCCCTCCCCCCCTCCGCCGCCCATTAATTAAGCCCGAGCGCCAATCACCGCGGCAAAAAGAACGAGCGCGGCGCCCACGACCTCGCATACCAGCCTATCTTTGCCCCCTTCTGTGGGCGGCCGCGTGGGCGTGCAGGCGGGAGGTAAGGCCTGTAGGGCGGAAGGGCGCCTCCCGATGCTTCTCTTGGCCTCACGCCCATCCCCTTCGCCGCCCGCGCAAAAACGGGGGCGGCCACCTACCTCCTCCGGGCCCAACGCATCACCGTCGGGTGCTCCGCGCCCTTCGGGTATAGTGTAAACAACCTCGGGCGGAGGTGGGCGGGATGGGCGGAGTGTGGGCGGAGGGTGGGCGGAGATGGGCCCGGGTGGCAGAGGTGGGCGGGTGGGGCATCGGGTGGGCAGAGTAGGGCGTCGGGGTGGGCGCGCTTCGCTCGGTCTTTGCGGGGCGTCGTTTCCTTTATTAATCTATATTTTTTTCCTTAATTAATAGTTTCTTTCTTTTCTTTATTCGATTTTTTTTATTTCTCTATATTCTAACCCCCTTTCCTTTCCTCTTCTCTTCCTTTCTCCCTCTCCTCTCCTCTCCTCTCCTCTCTCCCTCTCTTCTCCTCCTCCTTCCCCTCTCCCTCCTCTTTCTCCTCCTCCTCCTTTCCCTCTCCCACTCTTTCTCCTCCTCCTCCTTCCCCCCCTTCCTCCCTTCTCCTCCTCCTCTCTTCCTCTCTTTCTCCTTCCTCCCTCTCTTTCCTCTCTTCCTCCCTCTCCTCCTCCTCCTCTCTTTTCCCCTCTCCCTCTCCTCTCTTCCTCCTTCCTCTTCCTTCCCCTCTCCCTCTCTTTCTCCTCCTCTTCCTTCCCCTCTCCCTCCTCTCCCTCTCTTCTCCCCCCCCTCTCCCCGTCCTGTCATGATTTCCGATCAGAGGCTGGGAACTATTTTACTTCTTTATGAGTTGGAGGAAGCGTGACGTGTCAGGCGAAGTATGAGGAAGTGAGCGAAATGAGAGCGTGTGCGTGTTGAAAATACATAGACACAGGTATAAAAAAAATTATGTACATACATATACTGACGCACACACCTGACGCATACAGATACAAAGACCGACACAGATGGTACGTACACACACACACAAAAGTACATACATACATACATAACACATGCAAATACACTACATACAAACATACACATACACTTCCGTGCAATTGCATACGCACACGAGTATCTACTCACACGCACATACACACACACAAGCAAAATCTATTCACTAAACACCACGATCATAAATATCATGCGTTTACCTCCATATTTCCAAGTTCCGCCCCATCCCTTAAACCCACTTTTATCAAAACTACACTCGCAACATGGTTAAAATAAGACCTGGCAGAAGCAAGCGCCCCTTAATTAATATAAATCATCAATAGCGCCCATTCGTATCTTTAAACATTCTCCATGACTGAAACACGCATCCGTTTGCGCCATATTTCAACCATACTGATGATTTGCTTGTCGTCCCGAGGTAATAAACCAAGAATTTAGAATAAAAACAACGAAGAAAAATATATATATGGGAAATATAGATCATGACTTTTTTCTCTCTCTTTAAATTGGGGTTTCTAAAAGAATTATTAAAGTGGTATTTAACTTTGGCACAGGACGTAAAAGTAAACAAGGCGAATCGCATCCGACACAGATTCTTATAAATTCCCGCGACTTTACTAAATGGGATTTTAAATTTTATCTTTCGTATCTCTGGTTGTCTGTCATAAAATTCTTACATTAAATGTATATTTGTATATGTGTATATAAATATATATATATGTATACATGCATTTACATGATATAATAATATACGTATGTGTCTGTGTGTGTGTGTGGTGTGTGTGTGTGTGTGTGTGTGTGTGTGTGTGCGTGTGCGTGTGCGTGTGTGTGTGTGTGTGTGCGTGTGTGTGTGCGTGTGTGTGTGCCGTGTGTGTGTGCGGTGCGCCGGGGCGTCGCCGGTGCACGCGAGCCAAGCAGCCTTTCGGGCGCTGAGGCCACACTTTTCCCGCTCTTTTTTCCCGCGGTTTCCTCCCTCCTCCTCCTCCTCCTCCTCTCCGGGCGCTCGGCCAGCTGTGGGGAATCTCTATCTCTCGATCTGTTTCTCTCTCTCTATTCGGGGTTTTCCTTTCTTAATATTTCTCTTGCGTTTTCTCATTTTTGTCTCTCGTTTCCTTCTCTTTCTATGTTTTTTCCTTACTCTTTATCACAAACTCTCTCTCTCTCTCTCTCTCTCCTCTCTTCTCTCTCTCTCTCCTCTCTCTCTCTCTCTCTCTCTCTCTTCTCTCTCTCCTCTCTCTCTCTCTCTCTCTCTCTCTCTCTCTCTCTCTCCTCTCTCTCTCTCTCTCCTCTCTCTCTCTCTCTCTCTCTCTCCCTCTCTCTCTCCCTCTCTCTCTCTCTCCTCTCTCTCTCTCCTCTCTCTCTCTCTCTCTCTCTCTCTCTCTCCTCTCTCTCTCCCTCTCCTCTCTAATCTCCATCAACCAATTTTCTCAGTTCGGGAAAAGAAGACACCAAGTAGGAAAATATGGAATATGAAAACAGAGAGAAAAATTCATTTACACGTAATTTCTCGCGACCAATCACTAAATCACGCCAAATCTACCATTACAAACCCAAAATTGAAAACGAAATTGAGACAAAACGCGCCATCACCTCCTTCAAAATGGAAAATTTCCCGCAGACACACTTGCAGTCCTCAACAGCATGTCCCAAAAGTGATCATTCACCCTTAATTCCAATAGCTAAAAAATGACAACGATAATAAGTATCATACTGATGACAGTGCACCATTGGCAAATTAGACAGCTAAATCACGCATGGAATAGTGTTTATTATTTGGATAAAGCTGATAAAGGCGTCACGTGACTTTCCACCCGAAAGTATAAATAACTCGCGCCAAAATAGTATCTATGACGTCATTCACAAAAATAAAAGTGGTGGGGTGACTCTCGCATTTCTTTTCAATATCTTGAACACGTATATTTAATGTCATATACTCACCAAAAAACACCTACTGTTATCATTACTTTCGTTATTACTATTCATAACAAAGCAAACATTACTATTACTGATCAATAACTATCATAAAAATCAAAATATTTCCCATGCCGTTAAAACTGCATATGACGATAGCAACTGCCAAAATAATAATAACAAATGGTAATGCATATATATTTTCTTTTGCAATGCAAGACGAAAATAAAGACACCGTCATATCTCAGAAGTGTCACATCGATGACAATTTGCATAAACATTCGACTGAGTCACGCACTTCCTGGGCGAAATAAATAAATAAACAAATATATACCATGACACATACCAGCTAACATTCCTTTTATTACATCAAAGGTAGAACTGACCTCGCCCGAAAGTCCAAGTTGAAGAGATAAATGTTTTAACGATGAGTATTCTGTCATGCGCGTTTGCCGCCATGCATGCCTTCTCTGACGTCACACCCGCGTCACGCATACTACTATGACGTTTGCGGGACACCTGGTTCAGGGTTTTAAAAAGTCTACGGGATTTCCGCGCGCGATTTCACTTCATTCCGAGAAGAGAGGGTTATTTTCGAGTCCTGTTGCGTGACTAAGGTTATCTTGACGCAATTGTTGTAACTTGAGAGGAAATAATGGCTGGAGTAGGAAATAAAAAAAAGGGGGCACAAAAAGAAAAACAAAGATGGAGATGTAGAGAGCAAGAAAAAGAGAAAAATATATATATCCACGAACGAAAAGAAGAAGCGTGAACTTGGAGGAAATCGAGTAAAAATGGCAACAGTCAGAGTACAATTTGAACTCTAATCCCATTGCAGCCAAACCGACCCCAATCTCAGGCAAAAAATATGTGTATAAATGTATGTACAAACCAACACATATATGCGTACCTATACATATATCGTGTCTTTGGAAAATTAAGAGTGATAGTGAAAGAACAAGGAAGTAAAAGTAACGCACGCACGCACGCACACACACACACACATCCACCCCCCCCCCCCGCCACACACACACACACAACACACACACACACACACACACACACACACACACACACACGCGCGCGCGCGCGCACACACACACACACACACACACACAACCCTCCCCGCACACACACACAACCCCCCTCCCCCACCCCAACCCAACCCAAAACACCTCCGCCACACTCACCCTGTTCGGACACCACGTAGGACACGTAGCACGAGCCATCCTTCCTGTCCTTGAAGTCGATCTCGGCCTTGCTGGGGCCCTCGACGGAGATGGCCAGGGACCCGGCGCCTGCCTCGCGAGTCCACACGTTGAACTCCGAGGGCATGTTCTGCTCGCCGCGCTCCAGGCCGGGGCCGCCCGCGTGCACTCGGTGGGCGCCGCCGTCCTTCAGGGGACCCACCTGCGAGAGGGGAGATGGGGAGAGACAGAGAGTGGTGAATGGGGAGGTAAAGAGAGGGAGTGGGAGAGATAGAGAGAGATGAGGGGTGAGAAACAGAGAATGGTGAGTGGGGGAGATAATGAGGGGGAGTGGGAGAGGTAAAGAGAAATGAGGGGTGGGAAACAGAGAATGGTGAGTGGGGAGAGACAGAGGGTGGTGAGTGGGGGAGATAAAGCGAGATGAGGGGTGAGTGGCAGAGAGTAGTGAGTGGGGATAGATAAAGTGGGGGAGGGGGAGAGACAGAGAGTAGTGAGTGGGGAGAGACAGAGAGAGGTGAGTGGGGGAGATAAAGAGGGGGAGTGGGAGAGATAAAGAGATGAGGGGTGAGAGACAGAGAGTGGTGAGTGGGGGAAGTAAAGAGAGGGAGTGTAGAGAGATGTGAGAGAAAGAGAGTGGTGAGTGGGGAGAGATAAAGTGGGGGAGTGGGAGAGATAAGGAGAGATGAGGGGAGAGAGAGTGGGGAGAGATAAAGAGAGATGAGGGGTGAGAGACAGAGAGTGGTGAGTGGGGAGATATAAAGAGGGGGAGTGGGAGGGACAAAAAGTGGTGAGAGGGTGAGAGATAAAGAAAGGTAAGTGATGAGAGACAAAGGGAAGTGAATAACAAGAAACAAAGAGAGGCGAGTGAATGGGCGAGAGAGAAAGAGGTATTTGGAGTTGGGTGGACGAATACGTGCGGGATAAAGAGGGAGAAAGGGGTGAAGAGCAGAAAGAGAGGAAGGAGAGAGAGAGAGCAAGGAGGTAGCCATGAATAAATGGTAAAAGAAGGAAGAAGCGAATCAGAGACAGTCAAAATAAAGTGTTGAATGGATGGAAGAATTAGAGGTCCACGTTTAAAGACGGCGCAACGTTCCTCATTTGTTTATTTGGGTTTACGAAAAGGAAACGGTGACTTATTTCTAAAAAACAAAAATACATTAAATGAGAAAACTATCCAATAGCCTCCTGCATTAAGACAATACCAAAAGAGAACACAAAATCATAAATCAAACTGTTTCATATTCCTTTCTCTGTCTATAAAAAATCAATTCAAATCCCATATTCCTGGCTTCTTAAAAGAATCTTCCTCATCCCTCTTCTCCCTACTCTCACCTCATGTACACTACTGTTAATACCCACACTCCTATACCCTTTATTCCTTCCCCAAACCCCTCCCTCCCGTATTCCCAGTCCCCATACCCATACCCCATCTTCCCCCCTACCCCCACATCCACCTTCTCCATGGCCATATCCCATCCTCCTCCCTTCGCCTTAACCATTTCCCTAAACCAACACCCTTCCCAGATCCCTCCCTCCCTTCTATCCCCACCCACCTTCCCCATATACCTCCCTTCCCCCTTCTCCCATCCCCACGCTTCCATCCCTATTCCCCTTCCTTCCCCAACCCCATCCCCATCAAAACCCATAATACTCACGGTGAACTGGAAGGGCGATCCGGGAATGTGCATGTCCTGGAACTTGACGGACACTGTGTGAACACCCAGCTCCTTGGGCACGAAGTTGACCCCGTAGAGACCGTCCTCGACCTCAGACACCATGGCGTCCTCGGTAATGCCCCCGGGAGAGGTCACGGTAGCCGAGAGGTCGAAGGAGGAGATGCCAGGCAGCTTGAAGGTGAGGCGGCACTGAGAGCCAACCTCGGTCAGGGGGACGGCCTCTCGCTGCCTCTTGATGCGCTCTGTCTGCCGGTTCGAGCCCTCGCCCGTTACCTGAAGGGGGGAGGGAGGAGTGGTTGGTTGAAGAGTCACTGATTAAGGGATTTTATGACGTCAAAAATACTGAAGTGTGATTGAAAGAAACTTCGTAAAATGTCACTGATTGGGAGATTTTTATGACATTAAATATACTAAAGTGTGGTTGAAAGGAACTTCGGAAGTTGTCATTGATTATGAGATTTTCTGACGTTGAAAATACCAAAGTGTGATTGAAAGAAACATCAAAAGTTGTCACTGTGAGACACTTTTTGACATTAAATCTACTGAAGTGCAAATAACAATAACAACAACGGAAACAACGAAGACAGAGAGAAAAAAGCGCCATAAAAAGTAGAACACCCACCTTGACAGTGAACGGGGACCCAGGAACATGGTTGTCAGCAAACTTGAGGTTGACGATGTAGTAACCAGGCTCAGTGGGCTTGTAGCCAATGGTGAGAGTTCCATCTTCGTTGTCCTGTGGCGAGAAAAAAATAATACAATGTAATAAGAAAAAAATAACGTAACTTATTGCAAAAGATGTGCAAGTGATAATCTTTGAGGAGACACGATCAAGAGGTAGAAGAAAACACTCGCCCCTCTTACCTTGCACTAAATACTTGTTAAAAAGTCAATGGCAAAATTCAGTTCTCAAATCAAACCTACACTGATTAAAGATGGTGATATTGAATCCCTATCATTTATTCTTCTAGTAACAGCCAATTTAGAAAGACACAACTAACATATGGCGCATGAGATGTATACAAATAATTAGTCACATTTCGATATACAGATTATCTACCGGCTAAAGATACATATAAAAATCGAACAATATCACAAATAACTCCCAGAAAAAATAAAAGAAGACGCTAAGCAACTTAAAACATACAAACGCCCTACAAATGAAAAAACAAAACAAAAGACAAACTAACTTTTAACTTTGAACCAGACTTAAAATACAAGCTAAACCACCTTAAACTTTAAGCAGGACCTAAAATACACACTAACCCCCCTTCCTTAAACTTTAAACTAGACATAAAATACACCCTAAACCTTGAAAAAAATATAAAACAATATCTAAAACCTTAATAGATACACCAAACCTCGAAGAAGAAGAAGTAGAACAAGAAAACACTCGCCCCTCTTACCTTGCACTGAATGTCAGCCTTGGAGGGGCCCTCGATGGAGAGCGACAGACCGCCATAGCCAGCTTCCCTCGTGTCTATGGTGAACTGGTTCTCCTTGTGGGTCACGCCCTCCTTCAGGGCTTCTCCGGTGATCTGCAGGAGGAGGACGACACTTGAGAGATGGACTTTGGGAGGGGGGTGATGGTGATGTGGTGGTGGTGGTGGAGGTGGAGGGGATGTGGAGGGAGGTGGAGGGGGAGGTGGAGGTGGGGGGTTATGAGGAGGTTGTTGTTGTTGGTGGTGGAGTTGGAGTTGGAGGTGGAGGTAGTGGCGGTAGTAGGTTTGTAAGGAGGGAGTTGTGGTGGATGCCAATGGTCGTGGTTATGTGTTGGCAAGTGATGGTGTTGATGATGGTGGCTGTGATAATTGTGGCTGTGGTGGGAGTTAAGGTGATGATCGCAAATAGCAGTGGTGATGAAGGTGTGTTTATTGTAGAATTAAAGAGATTTACTGCAATCCTTCTCTTTCTGATTTTGACAACATAACCAACACAGGTAACTAGGAATGGAGACAGTGATAATAAAGTAGTTATCAAACAGATCCACAAGAAACCCCATGACCTTTCACCTGACTTTGCTCTGACCTCGCCCTTGACCTTTCACACCCTTGCTCTGACCTTGTACATCCTCACACTTACCTTTCAAGCCCTTATTTTGACCTTTTACCCACCCTGACCTTGTACATCCTTGCCCCTTGTTGACCATTGACCTTTCAAACCCTTATTTTGACCTTGTACATCCTCACCCTGACCTTTTGTAACCCTTGCGACCTTTCAAACCTTATTTTGACCTTTTCCACACCCTGCTCTGACCTCGTACATCCTCACCTGACCTTCCAAACCCTTATTTTGACCTTTTACCCACCCTGACCTTTCCCCCCCCTTGCTCTGACCTTGAATACACCCCTCGCCCTTGACCTTTCCCCTTCCTCACCTTGACCTTGGAGGCGTCACCGACTTCCTTCTCGCCGACAGTGATCTTGAAGGGCGAGTTGGCGATGTGCGTTCCCATTCGCTTCACGGACACCAGGTGCTCGCCGACCTCGCGCGGTGTGAACGAAATACCTGCGGGGAACGAGGGTTGTTATGGGGGTTGTGGGTGGGTGGGTGGGGGTGGGGGGGGGGGTTTTTTTGTTTTGTTGTGGGGCGTTGTTTTGAGAGGTTCGCTGTTGGTGGTATGTTTGGGTTTTTTTATGTTGTTTGTTTGTTTGGGTGTTTTGAGTTATGTTTTGGTGTTTGTTTTTGTTTGTTGTCGTGGTTCGTTGTTTGAGAGGTCGCTGTTGGAGGTTATACTTTGTGTTTGTTTTGTGGTTTGTTGTGAGATATGTTGTTTGTTGTCTGTTTTTATCACTGTTGCTTTGGGTTTTTTTGTTCCAATTCACGGTATAGGTGTGAGGGGCAAAGGGAAAGTGTCGGGAAGGAGTATAGAGTATATGTTTTGGTGAAAATTAAAACAGCCACAACAATAAATGAAAATAAACGAAAATTTTGGCTACTTCGGCTGAAGAGGAACTCGAGATGTGTTCGAAACGTAACGTCTGCTATTATTCTTATGTGTCTGTTTCATTTTCAATTTTGTGTACACGTTACTGTGCTGTGTTTGTGTTCATTATGTTTTGGTGTTTGTTGTAGTTCGTATTGTTGTTTGTTGTCTGTTATTTAATCCCTGTTCCTTGGATATTCCCTTTGCCCCAATTCACGGTATGAGTGTGACGGGAAAGTGGAATGTCCTAGGAAAGTCTCCATTTATATCATTTCATAGGATTCAAATCAGATGTAGAAACAAATAAATTACTCCAGTACCAACAATAAATATAAAAATAAAGAAAAAAATAAAACCCACCGAACTAAAAGGGAAAGAAAAAAAAAAAAGAAAAGAAAAAACATGAATGGCCACCCACCGAGATGGCCGTTGGGCAGCTTCTTGAGGAAGCAGGGTTCCTCGAGGCCCGACGGCGCCTGGATGGAGGCGTTGAGGGTCTTGATGTCGGTGTCGGAGATCTTGCCCGGGAAGCTGACCTCGGACTGCGAGCCCACGCTGATCTGGTTCCTCTTGCGCCCCTCGCCGGTCACCTTGACGGAGTACGGAGAGCCCTTGATGTGCTTGTCCGCGAACTTGACGGAGACCTTGTACTCGCCGGGGGAGGTGGGCAGGTAGGACACGGACACGGTGCCGTCCTTGTTGTCGTGGCAGGAGATCTCAGCCTTGCTCGGGCCTTCCACGGCTAGGGAGAGACCGCCTGCTCCCGGGGCCGCGGGGAACACGGGGGGAGGCGGGGGAGGGCACGGGGTCGAGGGAAGGAGGGAGGGGAAGAAAAGAGAGACAAGGTGGCGGAAAGGCCGTTAGTGAAATGAATCGCATTTTATCGAGGTGTTGGAAAGTAGAATTGTTTTTTAAAATGGAGAAAATAAGGTTTATTGGTTTCCTTATACCTAAAGTATAGATTAGATACTGTAACTTTCCTATCAAACTTTCCTCAAAGCACATATTTAAAAGAAAGGGTTGGTAACAAACTGAGGTCATTTTCTTTTAAGTTTCAACATGTAAAGTTGTCAATTTATTAAATTTATTGATATTATTTGTACCAAGTAATGAACATAATCAAAATCAAAATAAATAATCAATCACTGCATTAGTGGGTGAAGCCAGAAAAAAAACACATTTTGTTAGTTGTAATTTTGCTTCACTCAACACACAACAATTAACTTTTATTTCTCTTTTTGATCTATGGGCACGTGGCAACTGACATTTATGCAAATAGGTGTCCTCTTTTAGCACAGACCCTTTCCTGTATCTTCTTCTAGAGTAATTTCTGTCTTTCAGTTCCTCTCCATTGTAGAAAAAAGTATATTCTAATAACTGAATCTGCAGCAATAACAGTTTTTCAATGTGTATAAAGATTTTTGAATATCGTTCTATATTATTACCAGTATAAAGCTTCTTTTAAGACGGTAAAATAGTGACGTATTTAGGCGTATTAATCAACTGCAAACTACATAAATAATGCCACTGATACTTAATTAAACTAAATCTTTGAAATATTACAAATATTCTCAATAATTACTACTTCTTTGGACATGCCCATATATTTAAACAGATTAGTCTTAGTTACAGCAGACTGAAATTCCTACTTTAGGTATCAGTCTTAGTATTATTTAAAGAAAAAAAACATAATCTTTTGCCATGTAACACCACTCAAAGCTTGAAGTCGTGAGCATGAAGAACAGTTAGAACAAAATTCGTAACAGACAGACGCGCAAAGAACATCGACCAAGGACTAAAAATACGATCACATAATACAGAAAAAATAAACTTGATGAGTTATGATTTTTTTTTATCAAAAATGGGGAACTAAAATGAAAGAGCAAAAAAATGTGATGAACAAAAAATAATTAAATAAAATACTGACACTTCATTGAGGGAGGTGAAGGGCAGGGGGGGGGGGCTAATATACCCTGTTTCATAAGGATATATCGCTTGTTTAAAAATAAAGAAATAGACGAGTAAACAAATAATGATACTGATTACACATGGCAGAGAAACAGTTATTGGCAAATCTTTTACAAAGTTTTTTTTGTAGATGCATTCCATATGCATACTATTATCAAGTGTTTTGATTTAATAATCTTCTACAATACAATTTAAGTTTGGATTTAGAGCATCTGATAAATCTTTTGACATATGGTTTTAAGAATCAGAATACAGTCGGCCCTCAACACACGTAACCTAGGAATTCCTAAAATCTGATCATCTAAGAGTTCTAGCCTCAGTATTTATCAAAATGCGTAGAAAATAATATGAAATCAAAAGGTGCAGTCACAAGATCTGACAAATAAGCTAATGTATGAATATGCCCAAGAAACAACAGTAAAAAAAAAAATAGTAGTCACTAAACAGAACCATTTTAAACACAGCATTATGATGTTTCCCATCTGTTGTCATAGCTCCTGAACCGATTTTACCCGACTCTGCAGATTTTTGGGCATTAAAATCTGATCTGACCTGTGATCCACTTCAAATGTGACTTCTGCAACCAATCATGCTACAGGAAATGCATCCCGCTACAGGTTGCACTGGATGGAGAAACACTTTGGTTGATATTGCTGGCCAAGCATTCTGAGATGATGCAATGATTAAAGCAGAGTGTGGGAGAGCATCAATATGTATTATGCTTTGGGGACTTCAATTCTTTCTTTCTGAAGAGGCTGTGATGTACTGCACCTTTCAATAAAAAGCAACAAGTACCTCTCATGTGTTACTGATGTCACTACAATGGCTGTAGGCTGGCTTAATAGGACTGTGATGTTCGCAGCATATATTCATGAACCTTAAATGAGTTTTGAAAAGCAATCCTAATAAATGTTGAAGACCGACTGTAATACAATTTGGAAAGGAACAGAAAGTAAAAGAAAAAAAGAAAAAATGTAAACTGTATGAAATAGCAAATAAATATATGATTACCTATGCTACTTATATATATATATATATATATATATATATATATATATATATATATATATATATATATATATATATATATATATATATATATATATATATATATATATATATATATATATATATATATATATATATATATATATATATATATATATATATATATATATATATATATATATATATATATATATATATATATATATATATATATATATATATATATATATATATATATATATATATATATATATTATATATATATATATATATATATATATATATATATATATATATATATATATATATATATATATATATATATATATATATATATATATATATATATATATATTTATATACTGATGATGAAAATCATATTGTATATGAGAACTTACATTTAATAATAACCATGATATGGCCTATCACAAATAACAAAAACAAAAGTAGGGCTCCATTGGGGGAAAATAAAATGAAATTGTGGAAGATGAAGAAAGGTGAGAAATAAGGGCCAAAGGAAAAAAAACAAAAACAAAAAGAACAGGAAAAAAAGAACCATTATGGAGAAAATAAAATTTATAATAACAAACTGTGCAATGTTTTCATATGCAAACCTTCATTTACTCCTGCACGATGCTTGAAAATGAGAAGAAAACCAAATAATAATGTACATAAAAGTTGTTGTGATCAGGTAAAAAAAAATATCATTCTGGCCAAAAATATGTACATAAAAATTTGATACTTTTGCCCTACTCTAACTTGGCTACATTTGATTCTGAATCAACAAATATGATGTTAAAACTAACTGATTCTACACCATCATAAGCCTCTGCTAGATATCTGTAACATCAATATCTTGCAAAAAGTGAATATTCATTATGTACACTGTATTAATTGAAGCTACACCTTCACAAAGACGACATATACATGCATGACTCTGTTCCTCTGCGTAGAATTGCCTGTGTTAAACCAGAAGTCTGCAGAAGCAAGACACTACTGCACATCAACGTGTCAGCAGAGATACTGTCAGCTCAATTCTGCCTGGACGTGTGGGAGCAAGAGAGGCTTATCCTTCAAGAAGACTCGAATGGCTTTGTGGATTTCCGTTGAGGTCTGGCATCGATATTCCTATGTCTTTCCGAGATAGCATCTCCTGGGATTATATACTTTTTAAATAATGTGTTTTTCATAGATTTTTTTGAACTGATCTTTTTATATATATGAAATGATATATATACGTTATCCAGGACACATGACTTGCAACTTGATTTGTGATTTGATAATCTATTCATTTCATTTCTCAACCTTCCCCCAATCATCTTGCATTGGAAATTCCCTATATAAAATAATGAAAATGATAATTGAAAAACTACAAACTAAAATATTTTCCTGTCACTTCCATACCCACACCTTGGGCCTCAGGGTAAGGAAAATGTAAAAAATGAATAAACTTTTCCTTCTTCAAACCTACATCAGTGTTCCGGAGAAATCCTACGTAGTATGTTCTTAACATCCCTTCCTGACGCTTTAAGCCGATCCTTCACTCGGTTCTCTTGAAGAAGACAATCCTCAGGGAGCGAAGGATGCTTCAAAGGGGGAGGAGGAGGAGGAGCAGGAGGAGGAGTAAGGAGGAAGAAGAAAAGGAAAAGACCCAAAGAAAGAGATGGAGACCCTACCGCGCAGTGTGGAGCTACCTGCACCAGCGTCCTTGGTGGAGATCATGAAATTGCATGGCTCGCCTGTGATGCCATGCACCAGACCGGACCCATAGGCTGTTACGTAACCCGAAGAAATAGAGTCAACGTGGAACTTGAAGGGGGAGCCTGCAAGGGGGAGAAAACATTAGTGGAGGAGGACTTGCTTGCATGATCTTGGATGCATCTGTTTGTCATTATGTAT